CTCATTAACTGCTTCCCATTTGCTTCAGACATGATGAAGGCAGAGAGGATGAACACCTCAATTCGACGTCTGCAACGCATGGAGATGCAGCTGAAGGTGGCTGTAAGGCAGCAGGCAGGAAACTCAGGTGAGTCTTCCAGAGATACCTGGTGGGAATCCATGGCTCACGAGGGGACCCAAGGTCGCAAAGGTCTAGAAAGCACATTCTGCGTTCAGGGGATCTGGACGTGTTTAGCCTGGAGAAGAGAATAGATCGATGGGTGCTGTGATGAATTATGACCTGCCGTCCAGTTGATAACCCAGCAGCCTTTCTTTTGTGTCATTGCCTGTTAACAACACAGAGATCATCAGGTCTTAAAGTCCAGCTTTAACTTGTTCTTTCCTTTCCTCTCCTTCTCCTCTTTTGCTGATAAAGAAAGTCTTCTCTCCAAAGCTTTCAGAGTTTTGATGTCTTTGTCGTCGTTATAATCTGTGTGCTTTTTTTGTGCCTTTCCGGTCAGCTTAAAAAAGGTTCAATGTTTTGATAAAGTCCTAGATGGATTGGGATCTTGCTCCTTGTCTGAAGTCTTCTCTGACATCCGAAGGCCTGTTTGACTCAGTCCTCCGAGACCTCACGCCAACGGGCGTTGATCCCTTGAGAAGCCTGGAAAATATTCCTCACGGAAACCAGACTTTCTCTGCAGTAGCGGCTTTGTTATGGATTGCCCTACCGGGAGAGCTATATCAGGAACCCCCCCCCCCTTTGTGCCTTCAAAAAGCCATTGAAACACAGCTGTTTAGAGAGTCCCTTCGAGAGCTTCTCCTCAACTAACTGGGACAGTGGAGGAGTGAGAAGTGAAACTCTAGCTTGGATCTCCTGAAACTGATCCTAGCCACCCGGCCAAGTCTTGTTGTTTGGTTTGGGACAGCAGACTGTCTTATACCAATTTTCTTTTATATTTCTATATATTCCTTTTTGGCTGTACACCACCTAGAGTAGCAATTGCTAGATGGGCATTATATAAATCAAATAAATAAAGGCATCCCCTTTCTATGGACTCTCGAATCAATAGATTCGCAGCCTTCCATCATCAATCTGCATTTTTAAAAAGTCTATATTTTAAAAAATTGTATATTTCTAGATTAAAGTCCACAGTTCCATGCCATACACTAGAACTTAGAACAGAGAAAACCCCAAAACATGTAGCACTCCATCTGGTCTCCATCCTAATTACAGCACACCCATTGAAATCCACGGAACCTTACATTTACATTCCTTGGAACTGAGAATCCAATCAATTGAACTGCCTCTAGGCAGGACTCATGTTGGAATGAACCCATATAAATATATAAACAATATAAATATAAACAATAAAACCTGAAGGTTGTTCTGTGTTTTTCGAGCTCTTTGGCCGTGTTCTGAAGGTTGTTCTTCCTAACGTTTCAACAGTCTCTGTGGCCGGCATCTTCAGAGGAATATAATAAAACCTGACATCGTTCTTGAACCGTCATCCTGGTATATCATTGGTGGAGAATGGATGAACTCTGAAGCATTCTTGAGTTAGGATCGAGACAATCAAAGCAGGAGGGAAGTGTATCAAGATTCCTTGGCTTTTAACCTGCAGAGTGCAGAGGGCTAAGGCTGAGCTGATGGCTATTAAAAGTCAGCAGTGACTTTGGAAACTCCTACTTCAGTGCAAGTCGTCTTTCATAGCTTCAGGAAATCCATTTAGAGATGGTGATGATGAAGAAGCAAAATCCCTCCACTTGGTTACAGTAGCTTCAAGGGGTTGCTTCCTTCTACAGGGATATGTCTACAGTCTACATTCCAATCCCAAAGAAGGGCAGTGCCAAAGAATGCTCTGACTACCATACAATTGCACTCATTTCACACACTAGTAAGGTTATGCTCAAAATCCTACAAGGTAGGCTTCAGCAGTATGTGGACCAAGAACTCCCAGAAGTACAAGCGGGATTCCGAAGGGGCAGAGGAACTCGAGACCAAATTGCCAACATGCGCTGGATTATGGAGAAAGCCAGAGAGTTCCAGAAAAATATCTATTTCTGTTTCATTGACTATGCAAAAGCCTTTGACTGTGTGGACCACAACAAATTATGGCAAGTCCTTAAAGAAATAGGAGTGCCGGACCACCTTACCCATCTCCTGAGAAATCTATATGTGGGACAGGAAGCAACAGTTAGAACTGGATATAGAACAACTGATTGATTCAAAATTGGGAAAGGAGTACGACAAGGTTGTATACTGTCTCCCTGCTTATTTAACTTATATGTAGAATACATCATGCAAAAGGCAGGACTGGATGAATCTCAAGCTGGAAATACGTAAGATTGGCGGAAGAAATATCAACAACCTCAGATATTTATTATTTATTATTTATTCATTCAATTCCTACCCCGCCCCATTCAATTCCTACTCCGCCCCCCTAGACAGCGTCTACTCGGGGCAGCTTACAAATATCAAAAAATATCATTAAATACAATAAAACATCACAATAATAAAACATTTAAACAATAATATAATGTGATCAAGATGGGGAATGAAAGAACAGAAAGATAGATTTCAAGAATTGACAGGAGGGATGGCCTGCCTGAAGAGCCACATCTTTAAATGGCTCTTGAAAACAGACGATACCACTCTAATGGCAGAAAGTGAGGAGGAATTAAAGAACCTTGTAATGAGGGTGAAAGAGGAGAGCGCAAAAAATGGTCTGAAGCTCAAAAAAACTAACATCATGGCAACTGGTCCCATCACCTCCTGGCAAATAGAAGGGGAAGAAATGGATGACAAACCTAGACAGCATCTTAAAAAGCACAGACCTCACCTTGCCGACAAAGGTCCACATAGTCAAAGCTATGGTTTTTCCTGTAGTGACGTATGGAAGTGAGAGCTGGACCATAAAGAAGGCTGACCGCCGAAGAATGGATGCTTTTGAATTGTGGTGGTGGAGACTCTTGAGAGTCCCCTGGACTGCAAGGAGAACAAACCTATCTGTTCTGAAGGAAAGTGTTCACTGGAAGGACAGATCCTGAAGCTGAGGCTCCAATCCTTTGGCCACCTCATGAGAAGAGAAGACTCCCTGGAAAAGACCCTGATGTTGGGAAAAAGTGAAGTCAAGAGGAGAAAGGGGACAACAGAGGACAGGATGGCTGGACAGGTTCACTGAAGCAACCAACATGAATTTGACCCAACTCTGGGAGGCAGCGGAAGACTGGAGGGCCTTGGCATGTTCTGGTCTGTGGGGTCACGAAGAGTCCGACACAACTTAACGACTAAACAACAACAACAGAGATATGTTGACAGTCATCGCAAAAGGGATCCACCACCCCCTATATGGATCTACCTCCCTCCCTCATAGGAAACCCGCTGGGTTGTCTTTCACAAGGGAGAAATGAACGATGCCACATATCCCCAAATGGTTGCTTAGGACAGACCCAATGGGAGAAGAAGACAACTAAGCCCACTGGCCTGTCTCTTGGTCAATCTTCCCAACTGGTTCAGTTGACCTGTTTCTTGGGTTGCTGTTTTCCACTTTCAGCTAACGAGGCGATGGGCCTCACCCACTCTTGCTTTCTCTTCCCAGTCTTGACTTGTAAACCCTGCAAAGACAATTGGTTGCAGTGGGGAGACAACTGTTACCTGGGCACTCATGAGCCGATGACCTGGAATGAGTGCATAGACCATTGTGAGATCTATGGAGCCAGCTTTCTGATCGGGGGAACGTCAGGAGAAATGGTGAAAGCTTTCTGTCCACTTCTTTGTGTGTTGTGTGTCGGGAGCTGGGTGAGAGAGAGATTGAGATTAGAACAAGAGTAGAGGTGGGCAGGAATCAGAAAAATGGTGATCCATTTTGATTCATGATTCAGCAAAGTTTATAAATCACAAATTGCAAAATTACAGGGTTTTTTTCTGATGAATGGATGAATCGATTGTCAATTTGTTTTTTTTACTTTAAAACCCCATAAAACAGGACTCCAAGCACCTGAAGTCACCAAATTCACAGGGAAGCTTCCCCTGATGCTCCTCTATAACTCCTGCCGTTTGGTGAAGATTGGATTTCAGACATCCAAGTTATACATCCACAAAGTGGGTCCCTCCCAAGGAAAGTGCTCTTTAGCAGCTGGCTTGGGGAAACCCAGTTTTGGTGTCTCTAAGGTGCCAGGGGGAGTGACTTTCCTCGGGAGCATTCATTGTGGGTTTATACTCAGACACCCAGTGCCAAACTTTATGCTTTATATTTAGGGAAACATTCAAAACAGTGACCAAAATACTGTTACTTAGCATAATATTAGAGCAGACCTATTGAAGCAATGAGGACTTGTTGAGTCAACTCCTCCAAAAGTTCCATTGATTCAAGTAGGCCCATTCTACTGGCAACCTAAGTAGAAACTAGATGAGGATTTATCTCATGGTTTGATCTGGTATGGGATCTGGTTTGCTCCTTCTCCTGGTGATCATGTGGGCCATTACAAACCAGCCCATCCCTGATCCATGCCTAGCCACTCCTTTTTTATGCTCCCTGTCAGAGTCAAATGTTTTAATGGTGCAAATAGGATAATTCCATTTTGGTTCAGTTCCACCATGTCTGATTGGTGGGATCAAACCAAAGTGAATAACGTAAACTGCTTCACAATCTTGGGAACCAAGATTTTTTATACAATACCAAACTGAGCTCTGGAAATTTTGAGGATAAAAAAAGCTCTTGTAAGACAGCACTGTTGCAATATGCCATTTAGGAATTTTTTTTCTGAAAGCTTCCTCCCTCCCTCCCTCTCTATCTACAGGGTAGTTGGAGGAAGCTTTCAAATTGCCAAGATGCTGAAACTCCCTAAGCAAAACATGGAAGCATAGACAGGTGGGGACCAGGAGGGAAATTTGTGTTGGGTTTTTTCTTTTCTTTTTCTCTCCTTTTAAAGACAAAGATGGACCAAATAGGGTCACTTGACATGCGGTGTGACCGATTCTTGCATAAGCTCAAATGACATATTACACCTCAAAGTGACCCTGTCTAGCCTAATCCAGACCCAGGTATTTTGGCCATCCCGTCACATCCTCATTGAAGCATAGAAAGTTGTTGTTAGAGTAGTCCCATTTGAATGAATAGAACATATGGAGAAGTTGACTCACTAAATTCCCACTGATTCAATGGGCCTGCTCTAGTGCCATTTACTACCCAAAGAAACAAGATTTTGGCCACTGAAACCTAGGTTGGGCTGAAATTTCAGAATGCAATATTATTTGGAAGTAATTTGCAAAATTTGGTACTTTTATATCACCGGTCATTAAAGTTGCTTGCAGTGCAACTACCACAGCAAGAGGAATGCAAACTCACTCACATTCATTCAATGGGAAGTTGCAACAGGAAGTTCAGGTTCTCCCAGGTCTCTCTGCATTGCCTGGCCACATAGAGACAGAGAGACACAAAAGCCTTGTCTGCAGCTCTGTTTATACCCCAGCAGGTGGTGCAGCTGAGCTATAAATAAGCTGTAAAGAAGACCCTGAGCATGTGCCAATTTCTTCCTCTTCTTAGCTTTGCCATAAGCTGTTGGGGGGGGGGGGGGGAGCTT